TCTTTGGGCGCTTTGCCAGAGTTGCCCGTTTATATTCCATGTTCCAGTTTTCACAGGGACCTGCTGCTTTTCCTCCCTATTAACTTTTTTTTTATGGGAGGACTTACTCGCTGTGTTTCCCCGCCACCATGTTGATCTCTCCCTTGGTGTAGTTTTTTGTTCTTGGTAATAGACACTGCACCGTGTGAGGAGATGGATAATAGCCCCCCCCCCCACCGTGTGGGGGCTTTGATTTGCATCCCCCTCATGGCTCATGGTGTGAGCAAGTGTCCAGACACCTGTCGTGCGTGTTTATGTCCCATTTGGAGAATTGTCCGTTGAAGTCTTTTGCCTAGTAAGAAATGGTGATACTTGGACTTTTTTTCCCCTATTGTTTTCTTCTTATTTTTTTGTATACTACGCCCTATCAGTTGTGTGGTTTGCAATATTTTCACCCATTGTGCCAGGTGTCTGCCCTCTGTCATGATTTCTACTGCTGTGCAGAAGCTGTTTTATGCACCTGCTTGTCTTCTTTCCCTTTATTGCCTTGCTTGTGAAATCACACCCAGTGTTCTCTTGCCTAAAGGTGGTTGTTGAAATGGGTGTTTCTGGGAGGGCTGAGGGCTGATGCTCCTGCTCTGCCATTTGCTGGCCTCAGTCTCTGAGACTGAAAGTGCTTGAGCAGAGGGACAGCCCCTTCCAGGCTGATGACCACTGATGCAGGGCCCTGATGGTGGAGAAATTGTTCGCTTTATGATGTGAATCCTGATCCTCATAGCCTAACACAGAAGCTTCTGGATTTTCAGATGTGAACACCTCGTGCCTGTCACCATGAACTACAGAATTGTCCTATTTCTATCAGAGCAACAGTGTATAACTCAGTTTTGCAGCATGTAATTTTTTGTGTAAGTTTTCTATCTCTTGTTTATTTAGCCTTGGGTGATTGTTATTATTCTGGCAATGTGTCCATCTCATCTTGTTTGCTGCATTTGTTTGCATATAATTGCTCACGGTCATCTGTCATTCTCCTCTGGGTTGATGCTGTGTCTGTTGTAATTTCTCCTCTTTCATTTTTGATCACATTTATCTGACTCACCTCCTTCTTTTTCTTCTGTGAGCCTAGCTGGAGGTTTGTCCATTATTGTTTATTTTTTCAACCAATCATCTTTTGGTTTCATTATTTTTTTGATTGTCTTTTTATTTCTATTTCATTTATTTTGCTTTAATATTCATTTCCTTCCTTCCATTGACTTTGAGTCTTTTGGTATTCTTTTTCTAGTTCTTAAAGATGGGAAATTAGGTTGTTGTTTCTTTCTTCTTTCTTGATGTGGGTCCGTATTGGTATATTCTTTCCTCTTACTACTGCTTTTGCTGTGTCCCATCTATTCTGGAAAGCTGTTGCCTCATTGCCTTTTTTGTCAAAGTAATTTTAAATTTATTCTTTAATTTCCTCATTGATCTAGTAGCCTTTCAGTATTGTGTTGTTCAGCCTCCGCTTTTTGGGTTGGTTCCTTGCTTTCTTTCCTAGTTGCCTTCTAGCTTGATGCCTTTATGGTCAGAGAAGTTAGTTGGTATGATTTCGATCTTCATATATTTGTCATGTGACCCAGTACATGGTCTATCCTGGAGAATGTCTGTATGTACTTGAGAAAAATGTGTATGTTTGTTTATTTTTTGGGCAAAGTGTCCTGTAGATGTGTGTTAGGCCCATGTGGTCTAGATCTTTGTTTAGGGTGATTTGTCCTTGTTTATTTATTTTATTGATGATTAATTTTTATTTATTTATACATACAAAAACTGGGGTGTAGGCCAGAGGTGAGGGGGTAAGAGGATTCACCAGAGACAGAGTGGGGAGCAGAAGAGGCAGGTCTACTGAAATACACTGCTAAGGGGAACATGAGGAAGACAGGGGGTCTGCTCTGCCACGTGGGTCACCTCCCTGGCTGGGGATCGAACTCAAGCCTCAGTGGTTGATGATAGCTTGATAGAGCTGAGACTCTAACCCCTGGACCACCAGGGAGGTCTGTGTCCTTGTTTATTTGTGTTTGTAGATCTGTCCATTGGTGAGAGTGGGGTGTTGAAGTCTCCTGCCACATCTGTATTTTCTCTGAAATCTGTTTTCAGATTGAACATTATTGTGTAATATCTGTTTTAGTGTTCCTTCATTTGGTGAGTGGTGAGACACCTCAATATTATCCCCTCGATCAACATATCGTGTCCATCAGTGTCTCTTGTCACCTTGCTTAGTTTGAAGTCTATTTTCTCTGATGTAAGTACGGCTGCCCCTCCTTGTTTTGGGGTCCATTTGCTTGTAGAGTTGTCCAGCCCTCTCCTTTCCATCAATGTTTATCTTTGGCACTTAGTGTTGTTTTCTGGGGATGGCAGAAGGTTGGGTTCTGTTTTCTAATCCAACATGCTAATCTGGGTCTTTTCATTGGTGAGTTTTGTCCATTCATTTTTAGGGTGATTGTTGATTTGGATGTCTGTTCTGCCATTTTGTTCATCATTTTTTGATTCTACTCAATACTTTGTTCAGTTCTTCATGTTCATTCATTGTTGATTTTGATTCTAGGGCTTCTTGTAGTATTTCTTGCACTGAGGGTTTAGTAGTAGCAAATTTCTGCTGATTTTCATAGCCTGAGAAGGTCCTTATGTTTTCCTCATATGGGAAAGAAACTTTTGCAGGATGGGGCCTCCCCTGGTGGTGCAGCAGTTGAGCGCTGGGCTGCGAAGCTTCTCACAGCCTCTGCAGCGCTGGTTTGACCACTGGCCACTGGCGAGTGTCCCACATGGCACGCAAACCTCTCCTGCTGCCCGCTGCTCCCCTCAGCAGTGTACATCGTTGGTCTTCCTGCTCTGTTCCCTGCTCTAGCTCTAGTGAATTCTCTCAACCTCCTGCACTTCTGACTGTACCCAGTGCTTATATAAATAAATAAATAAAATTTTAAAATAAAAAGATACTTTTGCAGGATGAAACATTTTTAAATTACTTTTTTTTTTTGTCCTGGTGTTTTTTGAATATGTCACTCCACTCTTTTCTTTCTTCTTTTTTTTTTTTTGGATTTTTTTTTTTAAGAACTGGGGTACAGGCCAGAGGTGTGGGGATGAGGGGATTCACTAGAGACAGAGTAGGGAGAAGAACAGGCATATCTACTGAAATACACTGCGGAGGGGAGCAGCAGGTGAGTCAGGAGAGGTCTGCTATGCTATGTGGTAGCTCCCTGGCCAGTCAGGGATTGAACTCGACTGCAGAGGCTGTGGGCAGCTTCACAGCAATGTGCCCAACCTCTTGCGCCACCAGGGAGGCCCTCCATTCTTTTCTTGCCCATAGTGTTTCTCTCTCTGTTTTTTAAGATTTTATTTATTTATTTATTTATTTTTGCTTAGAAGAACTGAGGTGTAGCACCAGGTGGGTCAGCGCTGTGACTGGCGATAGAACTCAGGACCTCACAGTTGTAATGCTGATCCTTAACCCCTAGGCCACCAGGGAGGCCCACCATAGTGTCTCTTCAGAGAAGATTGATGCTAGTTTAATTGGGTTTCCTTCATAGGATTTCTGTTTCTTCTTCCTGTCAACTTCATTATTTTTCCTTTGTCTTGAATTCTTGGAAGCTTTACTGTTTTGTGTCTTGCCATGCTTTTTCTTTAATAGTGATATATGTCCTGCTAGCCTCCTGTATGTCTGCTTTTATTTCCTTTTTCAATTGGGAATGTTTTTTCAATTATTTCCTTGAAGAACTTCTCAGCGCCTCTGTCTTTTCTTCTCTTTCTGAGATTTGTATTACTCATATATTTCCTTTTCCATGGTGTGAGTGAGATAATTCTTGAAGTGTTTCTTAATTCTTTTTTCATTACATCTCTCCTACCCTCTCTTTCTTTTTGTATCTGATCATTATTCTGTGTCATCTATTCTATTTCCATGGCTTTTTCAAGAAGTTTTTACATTTCTACTGACCTTTTTACACACTGCAATCCTTTATTTTCTTGTTTAAACTTTCAGTCTATCTTCCATTTGTTGATTATGTTTCTCGCAGTATTCTTTTTCTATTCTGCATCTTCTTATATATCTGATTTGGTTTTTTGAGTTTTGATTGTGTTGTTTGAGTTCTTTGACTTTCTTAATCATGGCAATTTAAAATTCTTCACGTGACAAAAGAAGAGTTCTTCTGTTTCTAGGTTGTTGTTTCTGGATTTGATTTTCTCTCTGTGGTGGCTGCTCCCCTCAAGGCTGCTGTGGCCATTTGTGTTTATCCTTCTCCCCATTGTTTGCTTTGGGTTTGCTCTGTCATTTTTGGCCTCTGTTGTGTGTGATTCCTTCTCACGCACCGTTTAAATGAGTGTTTCATTTATGGTGGCACAGCTACTGGGGTCTGTAAGATTTGGGGTGCTGCTGGAGCCTCCTGCAAAGCATGTTTGGCTTGTTCTCCTGGCTGGGGTGCTTGGCGGGGGTTGGGGGAGAGCTGTGTTAATACACTTTGTTTCTGGAACCTCAGTGGGTCAGGGCCTGTTATTGTGACCAGGCGGGCAGAGGGTTGCAGAGATCCTTGCTATAGGAGCCCCTATGAGCCGAGCGCAGAGAGGGATGCACTTCCTCCTGCAGCTGGGTTGTGACTAAGGCCTCTGTCCTCTCCCAAAGAGCTGGCTACTCAGCCTAGAAAAAGGGGTTCTAACCTGGGGTTACTGATGTTCTCTGAATTAGAGCAAGGCCCTTTGAGGATAAGCAGGGCACTGATATGTTGGGAGGTGCTAGTGTCTGAAAACTTGTGGGATATACTTCTGAGTACAGCAGGGACTCTGTAGTGAATCCTAGATAATGTTTGACGTGGGACTCAGGGCCCATTGCAGCTACTAACATGGACATCATTTGCATATGCATCCACTTGATTGTGCAGGTATACAAAGGCCTAAAACTCTCTATAGTGTTTTGAAATCACTGTAACTCTCTCAAATACACAAAATTGCCTATTTAATCTCATTTGAGCCTCAACCGATTTCTGTAACCTTCTTCTATCTACTCCTAGAAGATGCCCAGTTTTCAGAATTTTAGCAAGATTATGAAAAAAGAAATTGGAGACAAAGAAATGAAGCATGTTAAATATGTGGATCATGCCTCCTGCGTGAAACTGTATTCCATATTAGTGGACGATAAGCGTTTCTCAAGGTTTTGGAAGAAAGACCACAGGCCACTTTCTTTCTCCCTCTTGGATATTCTGGAACCAAGTTCTTCACTACCAGGTATTGTCAATCAATCACAGCATAGCAGGCAAGGTTGAAAGTCACTGCTGTAAAATAGAGTTGGCACAACTTCCCACCAGTTATGAGCTACCCTCAAGGTTTGATCCTAGCATCAGCCTTGCGTACAGGCAAAGGACTTGGAGCTCTGACTGCTTGAGAAGTTCCTAATTATTGAGCAAGGCATCAATCATTCATTTCATAATTCCCACAGCCTCTTGAGCTAGGAATAGTATCCCCATTTTACATAACAGCTAATGAAAGTCTGCAAAAGAATTTGCTCCCGTTCCATACTGGGAGTTGGTGGAACTAACGTCCTTACTCAGGTCGTGCTGGCTTCAAATACTAAACACATTCTGCACAGTGTCGGCCTCCGGGGCTGATGCTGCTCCCGTTGCAGAGGAGTGACGGGCTGGGAGGGTGATGCTGTGTGTCTCCTGGACCAGGGCCCAGGTCACATCCCCAGAGATTAACATCAGGTCATTCTTGCTGTTACAGGACCCTTGGGTGGATCAAATACTTCCTCTCAGCGGTAGTTTACACTTAAACATTAATTTAATCATTAACTTCTCAATGGAGACATTGAATGGGTAGGAAGCTTCCATTTTCATTCAGTTTTCCATTTGCTCTAGAGGTAATTTTTTTTTAATATTTATTTATTTATGCATACAAGAGCTGGGGCCTTTATGCATACAGAGATGTGAGGGGTGAGAGGATCCACCAGAGACAGAGTGAGGAACAAAACAGGCAGACTGACTGAAACACACTGCTGAGGGGAGCAGTGGGCGAGAAAGGAGAGGTCTGCTGCACCATGTGGCTAGCTCCTTGGCTGGCTGGGGATCCATCTCATGCTGCAGTGGTGTTGGATTGCTTCATAGTGTGGTGCTTCATCCCTTACGCCACCAGGAAGGCCCTCTAGAGTTATTTTTTAAAAATGATTTATTGATAGATTTATACAAGCACTGGGTACAGTCAGAAGATCAGGAGGGTGAGAGAATTCACCAGAGCGAGAGCGGGGAGCAGAGCAGGCAAAAGGACCGAAGTACACTGCTGAGGGGAGCAGCGGGCGGCAGGAGAGGTGTGCGCGCCATGTGGGACCCGCACCCGTCGGCCAGGGATAGAACTGGCGCTCGAACCTGTGCTGCAGAGGCTGCGGGCAGCTTTACAACCCAGCGCTCAACCGCTGCGCCACCGGGGAGGCCCCCCTCTAGAGTTAATTTTTGACTCATCCTAAGTCCACCATTTCTCCTCTAGAGGCTGATGTGAATGGACCATTGGACTTCAAGAGCACTAGGCTCAAGGGAATGGAGATTGTCATGACTGTGGATGCTGTGGCAGAGGCGAATGTTGAGGTCGATTCTTCTCACTTGCAAAAATCCTCCCTCCAGTATAATTTTGTGGAAATCTTAGAACCGAAATTAGAAGACCTCAGAAAGAGGTGAGGCCATGGGAGAAGGAGGGGATGTGTCCGCAGAGCCCTGGGGTGTGCTCTGCTGTTGGCAAGTCCCTGGGAACTTTATAGTGAGTGAGGAAATAGCATTGAAAAAGTAAATAAGCAAAGTATTTAATTAAGGGAACAAAGACTTTGAATTTTTTTCTTTAGATAAAATATTCAGCAGTGTGCGGATACTGAATTAACTCTGTGAATGTGGTAACAGACAGATTGGACTTAACAAGGAAACTCTTAAATCTTTATATCAATTTTAGAGACAGAGACATCTAGTTAAATAGCATTTCTGTCGATACAAAGAATTATTAAATGATAAATCTAGTTCAATCTGATTTTCAAGACCATCCATGATAGAATAGCTCTCTGCTGGCAAGTCTGTCCTTCAGGCACAACTAAAAAAGAAAACCACAACCACCCAGCTGTGTATCTCACTAACCATCACCAACATGCTGATGGCCGTGTTGTCTTTCTCCCTGTTGGGTGCTTTGTTACTCCCTAACGTTGTGGAGTCGTGAGAGGTGAGGGGATGCCTGGACACAGCAGCTGCCATTCCTGGAGGATGAACAGGGAGGGAAGGTTGGAGGCTTTGGTTCCCCCTGAGTCTTGCAGGGAAGCTCCTCAGTTAGTGTGAAATAACACATTGCCTCCTGATTGAGCCTTGATCAGCCCCAGGGTCTTGTTCTGGCTCTAGCACTAGAAACTGCGGAGCATGATAGCTCTGGCCTTCGGGGAGAGCTCCCCTGAGGCTGGAGAGAAATCTGCTGCTACCAGTGTTCCCCTCAATTCTGAGCAGGGGTCTGGGAATCAGGCTCTGGGTAATACTGGAGCTTGGCTTGATGATGCGAGAGAATCAGTGGTAATGGATTCCCAGCCCAGTCCATCCTCCTCCATCCATTATAATTTCCTGCAAGTTTTGTCTTTTTTCTAATCCTCTGGTTGGTTCCCCTATAGTCCTCCTATAAGTGAAAACATCTGATATTTTTTATTTCCTTCTGACTTATTTTGCTGAGCATGATCCCTTCCAGCTCCATCTATTTTGCTGCCAATAGCATGAATTTATCTTTTTTGATTGCTGAGTAGTATTCCATTGTGTAAATATCACCATATCTTCTTGATCCAGTCATCTGTTTTTGAGCATTAGGTTGTTTCCAGATCTTCTTAGCTATTGTGAATAGTAGTACCAAGAGATCTTAAATGAGTAAAGAAAGAAATCTAGATACTTTTATTAGATTGGAGCAGGGGATGTAACAGTTTTCACTTAAAGGTATCTAAAATTATGAAGGACACTCTGAAGCTCGTAGCAGAAACTGGCAAAAGAACACGTGCTGGAAGAGAATCTGTTTTGGTCTCTCTGTGAACTGACAGTTGAGCTCAGAGCTAAAGAAAGAGAAGCAAGCAAGAGCAGAGGGAAGTGGTCTGGATGAGGGGTGTCTAGTCCCGGGGGCAGGCCACAGATGGGAGACTTCACGATTAGTGGGGAGCCAGTGGGTGACAACCTGGTTAACCTGGATGAAGGTGAAATAAAATATGGCTTGGAGGGAAGGAGATGGAAGAGGACGCAGCACCTAGAGATGCTCTAAGGGGCTTGACTGTCCCTGAAAGGGCCACGGAAGACCTGAGCGTGGATACTCAGTGGCCTCCCCCACTGACAGCCAATTAAAGATTTTGAGATGTCTACATGGCCGTTACCTGGGCACCAGTCCTGTGGGACCTTGGGTAGACTCAGGGCTGACTCTCACATCAGAATGGAAATGAAATGTGTCTCCAGGACTTCAGTCCTCTCATTCCCACCTTGCTCCAAAGCTCTGTCTTTAGTCAGGTGAGTCAGCCCACCTGCAAGGACATTACTCCATGACCCCCTCCTGCGCTGGCCACGACCATCACCAGCACCCCTGCTTCCTCGTGCCTGCTGAGGCAGCTCCACGTTCCCCCTGATGGTGCTGACGTGGCTCCCAGCATGGCGGTCACACCCTTGAGGACTGTTCTCAGCCCCAGGGCGCGGCTGCTCCAGCCTCTCTGGAGAGAGGCCCCGTGCTGGGATCTAAAACCTGGCCCTAACCAGACCGTCTAACTCGGGAACATGCAGGTGTCTCTCTATCAGGATCAGACTCTGCTGTTTCCTTTACCCTGGCAGAGTACAGAAACCTCTCCACTGCGTTCATGAGAGAGTGTTCTGCATCCTATGTAATTTTAAAGCCGTCACAATGTAAAGTCTGCATTCTCCCAGGTCTTGAAGAGGAGCCCAATCCAGAGTCATCTGAGGAGGCATTGCTTTCTCTCTGATCCTTCTCCTCCCTTATATCTCCAGGAAACTGTTGGACCCACAGCCCAGCTACATGAACCAATACCGGCGATCAGGGAAGAACCTCTATATGGTGACAAAGACGGTGGAGCTGTTCAACAGCGCTGTGCTGCGAGACATCAGCAGTAGGGGTGTTTCTGGAGGTGTCTCCTTCCCTTGGAATTTTATCAAGGTACCGGGGTGGAGGGCGGGAGCTCCATGAGCACAGCCAGCCCAGCCTCGCTCCCCGGGGCCTGAGCCCGCTCAGCCTCTGCCTCTGGGGATTAGAAGGTGCAGGTGGCTATTTCCACCCACCATGTGCAGGGCCTGACTCCCGGCCAGAGACCGCGTCCTAACAGCCTCATGCTTGGTGCTTCTCAGTGTGGTACCATTCGGTGATGACCAATAGGAAGTAGATCTAATTGTGATATGTTATATTTTATGTTTGGAGAGTGTTAGATCCTGGTGAATCTGAAGGTGGGGTTGCTCTACTGTGCACATGTTCAGTTTCATGCTGGAAGAAATGAGGCCCACCGTCTCCAAACTGCAGTGGTTGAAGTTGCTACATGTTGTGATATCCTGATTGAAAAGACTTAAGGAATGTGCTTTATATATTAAAGCACACATAATATACCTAGTGATTCACAACAACCACCTATAATACTTTGACATGATATTATTAATCCAATGATTTTTGTTTTATAATGTTATTTTGCAGAACATATGATTTTTGAGTAATTTGTGCTCACTTATCAGATTTAGAAACTAAAGCAATAAAATACCAGGTTGTGAACTACTTTCCCAAGTTCAGTGATTTTTCCCTAGAAGAGTGTGTAGAAGCTTCGCCCAGATCATTAAAAAAAAAAGTACTGATGTATCATTGATTTGCAAACTATATAAATTCCAGGAGGTCAGCTTCATATTTCAATGTGTGTATATGGCTTACAGCACCCGCCACCAAAGTTCTAGTGCCATCCCACTATCAAATTGACCTCCTCTGCCTTTTCCTCCTATCTCCTCACCCCTGCCCCAATTCTCCACAACCACCATATTTTTTTTAAATAATAAATTTTATTTTTATATTCCCCATACAATTGCAGCCCCCCCATTCTGACCCCAATCCCTCCCCTCCCGCCCCCGCCCCCCTAAAAGTGTCTCTGGTTCATAGTTTTTTGTTGATTTTGATTTTCACTTTCTTATAGTTATTCATTTTCCTGGTCCCTTATTTAAGTTTTCTAGATTCCTGCTATGAGTGAGACCATCCGGTATTTTTCTTTTTCTGTTTGGCTTATTTCGCTGAGCATGATCCCTTCCAGTGCCATCCATGTTGCTGCAAATTGCATGTGTTTATCTTTTTTGAATGCTGAGTAATATTCCATGGTGTATATGTACCACATCTTCTTGATCCAGTCATCTATTTTTGGGCATTTGGGCTGTTTCCAAAGCTTAGCTATTGTAAATAGTGCTGCTATAAACATAGGGGTGCAGGTGCTCTTTGGAATGGATGTTTCTGTGTCCTTTGGGTAAATACCTAGGAGTGGAATTGCTGGATCCTATGGAAGCTCTATGTTTAGTAGGTCCAGAAATCTCCACACAGCTCTCCATAGTGGTTGGACCAGTTTGCACTCCCACCAACAGTGCAGGAGAGTTCCTTTTTCTCCACACCCTCGCCAACATTTGTTGTTGCTAGTTTTTTTAATATGTGCCATTCTCACTGGTGTGAGATGGTATCTCATGGTAGTTTTGATTTGCATTTCCCTGATGACAAGTGATGTTGAACGTTTTTTCATATGCCTGTTGGCCATTTGCATTTCCTCTTCAGAGAAGTTTCTTTTTAGTTCTTCTGCCCATTTTTTGACAGGATTATTTTCTTTGTTGTTGTTGAGTCTCATCAGCTCTTTGCAGATTTTTGTGATCAGTCCTTTATCATTAGTGTTGGGTGCAAAAATGTTCTCCCAGTTGGTGGGATTTCTCTTTGTTTTTGTTATATAGAAGGAAGTATAGGCGAAACACTACGTGATTTGCACATCAAAGACATCTTTACAGACACATCACCCAAAGCAGTGATAGTGAAGGCAAAGATAAACAGCTGGGACTACATCAAATTAAAGAGCTTCTGCACAGCAAAAAAACCACCATATTTTTAAGAGTTGTTTTTACTGTATATTGTCATGTTTGCTTAGGTTGTTCATATTCCTCATATGAGCAAACACTATTTGGTAATTATTTTTTCCTTTCTGACTTACTTGCTTAGGGCAATCACCTTGAGTTATACCCATGTTGCAATAAAATGCAAGTTTTCATCTTTTCAGAGCTGAGCAGTATTCCTTTGAGTGTGTCTACTACAACTTCTTGATCCACTCATCCAGTGATGGGCAGTTAGGTGGTTTCTATGTCTTCATCATTATTAGTAATGCTGCTGTGAGTATAGGGGTGCACAAAAATTTTCATATTAGTGCTTTCATATTCTTTGGATAAATGCCTAGGAGTGGTATTTTGGCATCTTATTAAGGTCAAAGAGAAAGACAATGTGATAAAATCAGTAGATACTTAGCACACAGATATCTACTAGCACTTTCCTTATTTTACCTTATATCTTTAAAATTGTATAATCTAGATCTTTCAATTAAGAATGTATCCATGTGTTCAAGAGCATTTTAAGATTGATGATCAATATATGGTACCCTGTCTCAAAACAATAGATAGCCTCATTCAATATGGTAATTTTTTGGCAACATTCCTATAAGCGTAAGGTAGAAAATAATCATGGATGTTATTATCACTTTCATTTACTAAACTTTTTTTTGAGGGGAAAATGATGAAGAATTGAGATGTTCAATAGAACCAATAATATATATAATGTGAAAAATAAAAAGTTCCATTTACTTACCAACTCTAGTTATATATATCTAGATGTAACTTCTTTCAGAAATAAATGGATCTATATGGAAATAATTAACTGAAAAATACAGGGAAATCCCGAATAAAGAAAAAAATGAAATCATGTTCCTTCTATATAACTATATGTTAAAGATACCAATATTTTAGTGAAAATCAGTTTTAAATAATTTCAAACTATATACTATTTTCTTTTTCACTTTGAAGAGAGAACTGATGTACTAATCTAAATCATGAGGAACAAAAAGCATATTAAAAGAATCTAACAGTGTTTTGTAAGACCACAAGAGCCTGGGAGAATTGTCTATCAAGTAATCATAGTGGACTTCTCAGAAGAAACCCTGAACCAGAAGGAAGTGGGGTGACATAGGGCAAGTGCTGAAGGGAATAAAAAACTGCTAACCAAGCACATTATATCTAGAAAATTTTCCTTTAAAAAGAAAGAGAGGGGCCTCCCTGGTGGCACAGATGGCTGAGCACTGCACTGTGAAGCTGTCCATAGCCTCTGCATCACGGGTTCAATCCCAGCCAGTGAGAATCCCACATGGTGAAGCAGATCTCTCCTGTCTCACCTGTTGCTCCCCTCAGCAGTGTATTTCGTCAGTCTGCCTGTTCTGTTCCCCACTCTGTCTCTGGTGAATCATCTCACCCTCCTGCGCATCTGGCCTGTATCCCGTTTATTTATTTATTTATTTATTTATTTATTTATTATTATTTATAAATAAATAAGTCCTAAAAAATAAGAAAAAAGAAATAAAGAATTTTATTAAAAAGGTAAATATATAGACAGATATCGAATTCTGTAATACTGAAATATAATGTTGGTACCTACATCATCTTTATTTCTGGCATAGAACTAAATGTCAAAAGCATAAAATTTAATTATAACCATAAAACTGTTAATAGATACACAGTATAAAGACACATAAAGTTTGACATTATAAGTGGAGTGATAACTGTAAAGCAGTAACTTCTCTCCTCCCTGAAAACCACTCATTTTACAGTCTCCAGAGTGTTACCTTTTCCAGATCTCATACAGTTAAATCATAAGCACTTCCTTTTAATATTGATTTCTTTCATGCAATGAAATGTATTAAAATTCCCCCATGCCTTGATAGTTTATCTTTTTAGTGGTGAATAATATTCCAGGGTCTGGATACACCACTGTTTATCAATCCTATCTATTGTAGGACATTTTGGTTGCTTCCAAGTTTTGCCACTTATAGATAAAGCTGATTCTAGACATCCACGTGGTGGTTTTAGAGAGGCAAATTTTCAATGAATTTTTAGTAACCAATAAAGAACATGATAGATTTTATGGTGAGAGTAGTATACTTAGTTTTGTAAGGAATCGCCACACTGTCTTCCAGGGTGGATGCACCATTTTGCATTCTGACCAGCAATGAATGGGAGTTTTACCCTGACCATGGTTCACATGGAGGTTTTTGCTCTGGTAAATTGTGATCTTCTTCCCCTACTGTTTCGTCTCTCCAATTTTGAGGACATTGGGTGCTGCAGGAGGTCTTGTTGCCCCAGCCAGATAGGATACTGACAAGCAGCAAAGAGAAAGGGCCTCACACCGTGGGGCTGAAGATCTAACATTCCTTCACTTTTTGTTCTTGGTCATAAATAAGAAAAAAAAAATTTCCCAAAAAGGTACATTAGGCACTATATTATATGCATCAGTATATTGCAAATAAACGGCATGGAAAATTAGAAACTAGTTGTTAAACGATTTGGCCTACTTGACAATGGAAGACAACTTATTGAGCATGCCTGACAAGCATTACAATACAATGATTATAATGGGTCCTTCTATATTGTTTTCTCTTGAAGTTTCTTGGGAAAGTTTTTAATATGAAGCTATTTGAGTTAAGGAGTTTCTAGGTAGAAAAAGTTCTGATAGCTGAACAGCAGCTGGTCTCCAGCTGAAGGTCATGTGAATAGAATAGTCCTTTGATGCTTAGGCTTTAGCTGATAGGGATGCACTGGCGGTTATTCACTGTTTTAAATAATTGTCTAAATGAAAAAATAAGTAGCTTTAATGTTAGGTTTGGTTTATTATCTGTTAACCTTGAAAGCTGCCGTCTAGCTGAGACCTGTAGGGGCCAGTAGTCTATGGGAAACATAATATACTAATTGTTTATGCTTTACACATGATAATGTATTTCCTTATTATTATTACTAATAATGAATAAAAAAAAGACCTGCTGAGTCTCTCGGCAGAAGATACTAACACCTCACCAAGTGTCAGTGTCTCCTCGTTCTACCTCATCCCCTTCCCCTCAGCCCCTAAGTTTCAGATCTTTCGTTTTCGCCGACGCCTTCTCATCCTTTCAGGAACCCCTGACACAACATTTTGCTGGAGGCTGGTCCCCGGCAATTGGGATTCTCTGCGATGTGAACTACTCTCCGGACAGATCTCAGAACAGTTGTTGGTGACTTTCTTTCTTTAGGTTTTTGCTTGATTTTACGTGGATGATGACTTCCAGCCTCCTTTCCAGATCTTCTTGACTTTCCAAACCATGTGTATATTTGACCATGTTCCTGGGCTTCTGTCCCCAGATTAAACCAGATGTAAAGGGCCAAACAGTAAGAAAATTGGTGCTGAGTCTACAGAAGGGCATGGTGATGGCCTATAAGAAGAAGCTGCTGGTTTTTGAGGATGATGGTTGGGGTAAGTAGAGGTTGAGGGATGCACATGTTCCGAGGGGTGGGGTGTGTTTCTGCTGGAAAGAGAAATGGAGGAAAAGAGCATCAACATGAAACGTGGCTTCGCTGCCTGTCAGCACACTTTACCAAGTGTCTGGAGCACACACATCGGTCCCCCTTCAAGGATGGCCTGATGAACTGTTGTTGCAGGGAGACTGAGACGGTGTGAAGAATGAAAAACGGGTGCTCAGCATGGGGTTGTGATTGGCACTGGGCAAGGTTGCCCTTGGGCAGACCATCTCTGATCCTGCAAGGTGACTTTTTCTTAGCATCTCAACTGAGGAGCCCCAGGATCCTCCCTCTGTGGGGTTACCCACAACCCCCAAATGAAAGCCTGCAAGACATGAGCGCAATCACAGACATTGTAGACTAAAGCCACAACCATATAGGCAGGATTTTACCTGAATCTCTTCCTCCTTCATTAGCCTGAAATGATAATCCCCAACACACTCACTAGGGTTCTGACACCACATGTGTGAACCGTTTGTATCAAAGACCAAGTGTGTAAACTGGGTGACATGAAGGCTGCAAACCCACCAGCTCCCATTCCTTGGACTCTCCATTCCCTCATGTAGGTCCCGTCTTCAGGTCAGCCTGATGCAGCTGGGGGCAGATTCCTCAGAGATGAGGGGGTGCCCTCCCTCCGCCCCCCACACCCCTTTAGAGAATCCCGATTGCAGCATCTGGTCAGGGTCAGGTCCTGCTGTCAATTACCTCCTGTCAGTTACATTGCATAGAAAGATCTTGAACTGTCCAGTCTTGCAGGGTCAGTGTCTTTTGCTTCTGGGGAAAGTCCAGCCCTCCCCAGAGCAAGGCCCTCTTGAGGGCTAGAGAGGAGGTGGTGTCCCCAGTTTAGAGGAGGTCAGAGACCCCTGCAGAGGCAGCGGGAGATGATTGTGCTTCTATGGTCGTGGCGTATGACAAAGCGCCACGTCTTCAGGGAGGGCTGTGGAAGATGCTCAATCGTCAAAAATACTGTTTCTTAAGTGTGGGGAATGAGCTGAGAGAAGCTAAAGGCCCCCACAGCAGCGCTGTGGCATGGACAGTCCACAAGGGGGTCTGTGCCAGCTGCTGTTACACAGCTTCATGCTGATGAGCAAGGGAAGGAGCCTTTACCATGTGCAGGGGAGGTGGACACTGGTTCACACGATCTGATTTCATCGCTACAAGAAATCAGAGAGGAAAATAAAGTGCAGCCAGTTCAGTAATTTGCAAATATTTGTTGTGTGACTGTGGAGAACATCAGACTCTCTGGGGCCGTCTTCTCTCTAACTCGGAAATGAGACCTGCTCTGCAGAGTGGGGGGAGTTAGAGAGGAGTGTCTGGCACAGAGTGGTCTCTGCCCCCAGCCTCCTGCATCCTCCCAGGACCTGATCAGGGGCTCAGGTTCCTGCCTTCTCACAGCCCCTCACCCAAGGGCCCTCCAGTTATCCCCCCTCCCGCCAGCCACTTCCCCTCACAGCCAAGCCCGTAAAGCATCTCCACACTCTGTGTCTCCCCTCCCGGCCTCGTTGCCTCCACCCGCTGCAGTTCACCCCGGAGATCACGTCGTGGCAGGACCTGCTTGGACGCTCCTCTCCCTGGATGCTGGACACTGATCTCTGGGCTCCTCTCCTGGGCTGTCTCCATGCTGTCTCCTTCATGGGCTCCGTCCTTTGTGATCACTTACTCTTTGGTGGAGCCAAGTCTCAGGCCTCTGGACATTTCTCTGTGAAACCACCCGGGAAGCTGGCTGGGTTAGGGGAGGACAGGAGATTGGAGACTCGGGACAGAGAGACCCAGCAGAGGGGACAACCCTGCAGGAGGAGGGGAGCAGACCCTCTCCCAATAAGCAGGTCTCTGGTGGAGCGAGTGGCACCCATGGGTTTAGATCCCAAGGTCTTCTCAGCGTCAGACCTAGAAGGTCCAGAGTGAGGTCAGGGGCTCTGAGTTGTAGAAGCACCCCACCCACTGCCTCTGACCAAGGGGTGCCCAGATCCCTCTGAGAAGAGCTGGCATATTGGTCTGCAGGAGCAGGGCTGGGCTATAGATTTGGGGTGGGGAAGCCTCCAGCAGGGTAACCTGGTATCTTTTCCTTTCAGATATTGTTGATGACTTAGATGATAAGGGGCAAAGCTTTCCAGAAGAAGGTGAGTTCCCAACTACGTATGTTTCACTTGACCTTAACCCTGTGCGCCCAGAGATTATTAGGGTGCTCACCAGAGCCTCAGGGGCTCAGTCCTCTCCCCTCAGTAAACCAGCCCCTCCTGCACAGCCTGCCAGCTCCCTTGTTTTCACTAGCAAGAGCCTTGAAAACACATAAAAAACAGCTTTTTCTATTTAACAGTGAGATGTCACCTGTGTGTGTGCGAGTGTGTGTGTGTTTCTGTGACTAACTCTTGGTGAATGAGGCCTTCTTTTTTATCTTTCCAGCATATCATTCTTGTATGCCAAGAAGTAAGTGATCTTTTTTTTTAAGATTTTATTTATTTATGCATACAAGAACTGGGGTACAGGCCAGAGGTGTGGGGTTAGCTGTTTTTGTGCCAAGAGAGTGGGATCTGATCCCCCAGGACTCAACTCTGTGCAACAGAACCCCCACATGCTTGCAGTGGCCTCCTTCCCAGGGCGCTGGGATCTGGTCCCCTGGGTGATGGGCAGCAGCAGGTAGAGAGGAGAGGTGGGGAAGCAGGGGCAGAAGACCAGAAAAACCTTGTATCTTTGAACTAATTCTTGGGCTGGGAATTTAATTTCTCTTCCAGAAATGGAGTATGATCCTACTGGTCCCATCTCCCCGATAGGTGAGTGTGTGATGGGGCTGGGGGAGGAATCCTTCCTGCCACATCAGCTGTGCCCGGCAGTTGGCCCTGCCTTTGGCACCACTGCCCTGGGCCTGGCCCAGCACCCTGTCCAGGGGGCTCCTGGGGGCTGAGGGTGGGGAGGGTGGGCCTGATGGGGCAGGAAGAGGTGCTGCAGGAGGGAGGCGGGGTCGGAGGGAGCGCAAACCCTCCACAGTGTCTCAAAAGTAAATTTGAAGATGCATAAAAGACATGATGGCTTGTGATTCTTTTTCCAGGAAGCGTAGAGGAACCCTTCGGGAAAAGTGAGTGTTTATCAAGAGGGAACCTGGGCTTCTGGGTGGAAACTGACAGGCTGACACCCCTGGAGCTTCCCTGCCACTCGGACAACCAGATTCTCCTCCATGTACACATTGTCACATCCCTCATCTGTTCATCCATCCTCCCTCATCCACACTCAGTCCCGCCACCCTGATGAGGCTGTGTCGGAAACAGGCACTGATCTGGGCACAGGGACTCCGGGCTCGGCAGTGAACCCAGAGACAGAAAAGCTGCTTCTTTGGAGCTTCCACTCACATTACCTCTCACCTCAGTAGGTCTCTTTGATGGCCTGTCAGGTGCTCTGGGGAAGGTTAATTCCTTCTAGACTCAGAAGACACAGACACAAGTGTGATCTGTAGGGTGTGGTGTGTGCCCGGGTCTACTGCATGTGCTTCACATACATGACCCCCGTGATTATCACCACAGCCTCATTTATTTATTTATTTATTTATATATATTTTTAAAAGATTTATTTATTTATGCATACAGGAACTGAGGTACAGCCCAGAGGTATGCAGTTTTTTTGTTTTTGTGCCAGGAGAGTGGGATCTGATCTCCCAGGTCTGAACTCTGCACAACAGTGGCCTCCTGCCCCAGAGCACTGGGATCTGGTCCCCTGGGTGATGGGCAGCAGCAGGTAGAGAGGAGGGGGTGGGGAAGCAGGGGCAGAAGAGCAGAAAAACCTAGTATCTTTGAACTAACTCTTGGGCTGGGAATTTAATTTCTCTTCCAGAAATGGAGTATGATCCTCTTGGTCCCATCTCCCCAGTAGGTGAGTGTGTGGTGGGGCTGGGGGAGGAATCCTTCCTGCCACGATCAGCTGTGCCCGGCAGCTGTTCCTGCCTTTGCCACCACTGCCCTGGGCCTGGCCCAGCACCCTGTCCAGGGGGCTCCTGGGGGCTGAGGGTGGGGAGGGTGGGCCTGATGGGGCAGGAAGAGGTGCGGTGCTGCAGGAGGGAGGCGGGGTCGGAGGGATAGCAAACCCTCCACAGTGTGATTCTCTCTCCAGGAAGCATAGAGGAACCCTCTGGGCAAGGTGAGTGTTTACTGAGAGGGAACCTGGGCTTCTGGGTGGAAACTGACAGGCTGACACCCCTGGAGATTTCCTGCCACTCGGACAACTGAATTCTCCTCCATGCACACATTGTCCCCAGGAAGGCTTGGGGAAGTAGATGAGTGAGCCCTTCTTTTTTATCTTCCCAGAGTCGTGTAGTTCTGAGTCATCAGGTAAGTGATGGTTTTTATTTTTTAGATTTCATTTATTTATGCCTACAGGAACTGGGGTACAGCCCAGAAGTATGCAGTTAGTTGTTTTTGTTCCAGGAGAGTGGGATCTCATCTCCCAGGACTCTATCTGGTCCCCTGGGTGATGGGCAGCAGCAGGTAGAGAGGAGGGGTTGGGGAAGCAGGGGCAGAAGACCAGAAAAACCTAGTATCTTTGAACTAATTCTTGGGCTGGGAATTTAATTTCTCTTCTAGAAATGTGGTCTCCTCCTATTAGTCCCATCCCCCCAATAGGTGAGTGTGTGGTGGGGTTGGGGGTGGAATCCTTCCTGCCACAGTCAGCTGCAACTGGCAGTTGGCCCTGCCTTTGCACCACTGCCCTGGGCCTGGCCCAGCACTCTGCCCAGGGGGCTCCTGGGAGCTGAGGGTGGGGAGGGTGGGCCTGATGGGGCAGGAAGAGGTGCTGCAGGAGGGAGGCGTGGTCGGAGGGAGCACAAACCCTCCACAGTGTCTCAAAAGCAAATTTGAAGATGCATAAAAGACGTGATGGTTTGTGTTTCTCTTTCCAGGAAGCATAGAGCAACCCTTTGGGCAAAGTGAGTGTTTATCAAGAGGGAACCTGGGCTTCTGGGTGGAAACTGACAGGCTGACACCCCTGGAGCTTCCCTGACACTCGGACAACCGGATTCTCCTCCATGCACACATTGTCACATCCCTCCTCTGTTCATCCATCCTCCCTCATCCACACTCAGTCCCGCCACCCTGTTGAGACTGTGTCGGAAACAGGCACTGATCTGGGCACCAGGGTCTTGTGGGTTGGGACCCTCAGGTGCTCTGGGAGAGGTTAATTCCTTCTGGACTCAGAAGACACAGACACAGTGTGATCTGTAGGGTGAGGTGTGTGCCTGGTACTGCTGCATGTGCCTCACATACTTAATACCCCGGTGATTGTCACCACAGCCTCATTTTATTTATTCATTTTATTTTAAATTTTTTAAAGATTTATTTATTTATGCATACAGAACTGGGGTAAAGGCAGAGGTGTGTGTGTGGGGGGGTGTGAGAGGATTCACCAGAGACAGAGTGGGGAGCAGAACAGCGGATCTACTGAAATACACTGCTGAGGGGAGTAGCGGGTGAGTCAGGTGAGGTCTGCTTCACCATGTGGGTAGCTCCCTGGCCTGCCAGGGATGGAACTCATGCTGCAGAGGCTGTGGACAGCTTCACAGTGCTGTGTTACCCCCTTGCACCACCAGGGAGTAGCCACAGCCTTATTTTAGATGTGGAAACTGACTCCAGATCAGGGAAGTCTCTCATCTCTACATCCCAAGGCTGAAATCCTCATTATTCCAGAAAGATCCCATAAAGGGGTCTCTGCACACTTCTTTTGTATCCCAAGACACCTTTAAGATTCTCCATCTCTGCTCCCAGTGTCTGCCCCCTCATTTCAGCCGTTTCTTCATCTTTCTAGCCTAGTTTGACACCTCCACCCATGGAGCTCAAACACATCACGCACAGAGATGCTCTTTGTTAGCAGCTTGAAAACAGATGAGTTTTGCTCACATCAATGGGGACAGGATTATCCCAGGAATGTTCTAACCTAAGAGTTATTTCCATGTCCTGGATGACAGATTTTGAGTGCATGAAAGAAGAGATTTCCAGCAGAGTGGAGATGGTGGATTTGCTGTCAAGGAACATTCAGGGCGTCATATTTGTTAATATCCAGGCTATGCTGGGGGACCGACGGGCTCTGGAGGCCCTCATGGACAAGGTGAGGGGGCCCCACAGCTGTCTGGGGCTGATCAAACCTGCAAATGGTGTATGTTCAGGAGATATGGCTGCCCAGATGCATGGGGAAGGAGACTGGATTAATAGTAGGGGAATGAGAGGGCCAGGGTTATGCTGCCCACATAGTGCAGGTTCTCGGTATCCCTTGGGGGTAGAGAAAGACGTTAACCCAACTTTTGGTTAATAACTTATAGATCATAACTTATAGGCAAAATTATATGACAATATTGTCATCATCATCATCGTTACCTTTGCGTTTTGCAGCTTGACCAGGAGAAGCCCGTGGGTCATTTGAATGGCCCTGGTGGCACCATCCTGGATGAGCTGGGAAGAATCCCAGAAGATCCACATGATGACGCAGTGGAACTCATCCTTTACCTGCTTGAAGCCATAATGGGTGAGAGAGATTTAAGGGGTTATGGGAGAGCCTCAGGGTTGGTGCCCAGAACCCCATAAAGGACTTTGTTAGCTGCCCCCTCTCCAAAGCACTTTGATGAATATGGTTTTCATCCTCACAGTGGTCCCCATTCAGAGGGGCCCATGAGGTAAACTAGTCATGTAACATGAAACTTGAACCTAGACAGACCAGCCCAAGTTCATCCCCCTTCTCATTGGTGTGGGGGGTTCAGCCTCCAGCCTCAGCATCCCACCCTCTGGACTATGTGCTCTAGCACCTTGGAGACCATCCCCAAAGCAGAAGGAAGACTCAGAGGACAGGAACTTGCACTAATAAAAACTTAGTAGGTTTTATACTTCTGCCTGGAGTTCTGCTTCTGGTTTTTTTTTCTTTAAATATATTCTTAAAAGATTTTATTTATTTATGCACACAAGAGCTTGGGTGCAGGCCAGATATGGGGAGGGGGCAGAGAAGATTCACCAGAGACAGAGTGGGGAGCAGAACAGGTGGATTGACTGAAATACACTGTTGAGGGGTATAGCGGGAGAGACAGGAGAGGTCTGCTCTGCCACGTGTGTCAGCTCCCTGGCTGGGGATGGAACTTGTGCCATGGTGGTGATAACCCTGAGACTTAACTCCTAGGCCACCAGGGGGCCCCCCCATTGGGTTTCCTAGGTCACCCGGTTGTGGGGTATTTGACTCCTCACTCTTTTCCCAAACACCCTCTGTCCCCAGTGCTGAGTGACACCCAACATGCTCTGCTGGCCCAGTCCATGGAGAAGAGGATCCTGCTCCATCAGCGGGAGCTGGTGAGAAATCCCCAGGGCCAGCATCCAGGGGGGAGGCGGCGGGAGAAGGAGAGAAGAGAGACTCTAGGAAAGAGAGATGATGCAGTTTCTGCTGGGAGGGGAGACCCCATCCCAGTGTGGCCCCTGGGAAATCCTGCTCATGTCCTTCTGGAGAGCAGTCAGAGTGGGTGTGCGGGTCTCAGTCTCCATGGTAACCACTGCAGAGGCCCTCAGAGTTCTAAAATAGTCGAACAGGAATAGAGGTTTAGGAGCTCAGGGCTCTGAGGAATAACCCCGCCTGACTTACATAGTTCCCAATGAAATTGCTCTTTCTCTCTGCATGTATGTATGTATGAGTCCATAGGGGTGTATAGAATTATACATACACATTCACACACTGCACACATGTACACACGCACCTACAATTCCTAATACCTTTGTTGTGTTAGTATGTTAGTCTCACCAGTTAGCAACCCAGGAACCAATGATCAGTAATTTCCTGTAACATGTATGCAAGATCACACTGAGCACAAGAAGGGACCAGAATGGAGTCCTGTCCCTATAACTAGAACTTTCTTTCCTCCGTCACCCTGTGTCACTCTTCACTGTTGGGACAGAAGTTTTCCTCTTCTCTACTCAAAGACTGACCCGTGGACTCTTACACCATTACTTCTAGGTACGGAGCATCCTGGAGCCCAATTTCAAGTACCCCTGGTGGATTCCCTTCACCCTGGACTCCCAACTCCTTGCCCTCCTGCAAGATGAGGGTGTGGCCATCACCTATGGGCTGCTGCAGGAGTGTGGGCTGAGGATGGAGCTGAATAACCCCAGGTCCACCTGGGATCTGGAAGCCAAGGAGCCCCTGTCTGCCCTGTATGCGGCCCTGTGTCTGCTGCAGCAGCTGACAAAGGCCTGAGTACCTCTGGGTTGCAGCGAGTCCAGGGAGGTCAGCCTCACCCACCTGTGAGGTGGTGTCCTTGTGGGCTCTGGCTCTGGTGGATTCTCTCATCATCCCCCGTGCTTCTGACTGTACCCAGTCCTTGTATAAATAAATAAATAAAATCTTTAAAAAAAAGTAAATATACATGTAAAGGAATGAGATGAGTGTATGTTATGAGTGTACATGCACACGGGTATCATGTATATATGTTCATGTCTATGAATATATGTAAACATATATAAAGATACAGATACACTCCTTCTATGACTGTATCTATGCATGTACATGCATCAACACAGAGCCTCACCTAAGTGAATATGTTCTGGATTCTCTTTTCCATCCTCTCTGTATAGCACCTGCTTTTCTTCATTTAGGGTCTTCCATATGTCTGTTTCATCTTGTCCCATGTCTACACCTTTGCTTTTTCATCGTCTCTCTGAGTCATCACAGGTCTTGTTCAGCTCTCAGTGATCATTACTCAGTTTAGAGATTGGGATGTTTGATCTTCATCTTGTTTCCTCAGCTTTGCAATCTCCCTTCGCATGTAATTCTATTAGTTCATCTTCCCATCGTTGAAGCGCTGCAATGGGAAGTAATATCTCATAAAATTATTCTTGTCCACAAAACAATGATGATGTACCATGTTTTTGTCACATCATGTTGTGCTGTGTGATCTATTCAAAGTGGATATTTCACTCTCTCCACTTTCCTCTAGTGTGTCTGCACGGAATCTCCAACATCTTTTTTTTTTCATTTTCCATATTACTCATTACCAACATGGGCGCTCTGTCAAAACACTGTATATGAGTAAAGACAGTGGTTGGAGTAGGTGAGTTTGCTTTTTTTCCCCCTCGCACATCACTTTTACTGAGCCCTGTTTTTCTTCCTCTGAAAACTCTGTTGTGAATATTACGTCTTCTGAGCATAAGGTCATAGTATTAGGAGGGTGAAGGGCTAACCTGGGCTCTGAGCCTATTGGTTGGTTGATCCGGACTCCATCCCATCTCATGATTTTTCTAAAATCTTGGACTTTATGTATGGATTCTCTCCCTTCATCCATCTAGGGCCATTGTCCTTACACAAATGACTTCTGATACCATCTCCCTGCACACCCGGACCTTTTGTCCAATACTGTGATGATTAGATTGTGGAACCTTAGACCTCTGTGAATTGAGGTCAGGCTGTAACTGGATCACCTCCATTTGTAACAGAAACCTCTAGAGGAAATATTGGGACTCAATGAACTAAACTTTACGCAATCTTTGTTCTCTTTCCCCTCTAATACCTCCTTGTGATTATGCTTCAACTTGCAAGGAATATATTGCTTTTCAACGGCATTTCCTGGACCTCATAAAGCTGATTGTGTTACGCCTCTAAGAAAAACCTCTTTGCTCCTTGGAGGTTGTGAGAATATCAAAAGCAAATAACTCCTGACTGTTGCCTGATCTTGACCCTGAGGAGAAACTCCCTGCTGAGAGTGCCAAACCCCAATCCCTATGATGACTGGACCGCCCAGCCCAATCTCGGACTTGGAAATGTGCATCTCCCCGCTTCACATCCTGCACCCCCTCCCTCCCAGCCCCCCTTATATAATCACAGCCTCTTGGCACTGGGGGAGCTGGGTGTCAGGTTCCCAATCCCACTGAGTGCCTTGGTGGCCGCCTTGAATCAGCTCCTCTGTGAAAAGACAAATCGTGGCTCTGAGCTTGGATTTCTGGGTGATGAGCCACTGACTGTTTTCCTTGTTCACAGGCTTCATGACTCCCCCACACTAGTGGGAGTGGAGCTGACTGTTTTGGGATCTTCCTTGTTGGGGACATTAATTCTACATGGGCTCCAAGTAGCCAGCCCAGGCTCCCTCAGGCAGCATTAGCTCCCGTCCTGGCCTCCCCGTTACCTGCTTCAGGTCCCTCATCTCCTGATCACCACTACCAGACCCCCCTGCTGAGACTCGGGCCTTGTCTCCCCCTCCTTCCCAGGTCCACAGAATTCCCATGGGTATCGCAAGTCTTTCCTAGAAGCAACCTCTGCTGACTCCACAGAGAGTCAAGTCTCGTTCAATCCACTCCATTAACAGGGAGTAGTTGCAGGTGGACCCCACCTTGACCCGGTGATGCACTGAGGGCACTACAGGTTGTGTGTGTGTGTGTGTGTGTGTGTGTGTGTGTGTGTGTGTGTGTGTCCCCATGCGCGTGCGCACAGCCTCTTTGAGAGGCTGCATCCTAAATGCCCCAGGTTGGTCTCCAGCTGAGACATCACGGAAGGGAGAGCCCAAGGACTCTGAGCTGGCTTTCCAGGGCTCTCTATTCCACCGGGTACGCAGTCACAGATTCTCCCAAGAGGAGTCCATACCCACAGTGTGGGTGTTGAGGTAACCATGCATTTTGAAGCTAGTGAGAGACAAATGTAGATAAAGCCTGCATTATGTCACAAGGCTTCTATAGGGTAAGGAAAAATGTCAGGTTTTTCTGCCCTCCCGCCATCAGGATAGATGATGGATCTTGCGGTCCTGAATGCATGCCTGATGGCGGGCACCTGGAGTAGGGTGAGGACATAGGTAGATGGGATTCACCTGGGCTGAGACTGTGCTTTTAAGGGCGGTGTCACGGGGATGCCACCAGAGGCCGAAGAGAAGCCAAGAGAGAAGCAAAGAAGCAGAAGCAGAGAACACCACAGAGCCCAGAGAGAGTGCGGATTTGCTGGGGCTGGGCGGACTGCCAGCCTCCCGGCCCCCCAGCACTTCTGCCTGCCATGTACCTGCTAAATCCCAATAAAGGACTTGCAAAAAGCCACTGAGGACTCTGATTCCTCATTTACCTGGTCTGCTGGATCCTAGAAAACCTGCACTGTGTCCATTCCTGACTGTACAATTGGCGTAAGTCGGCAAGATGACCCATGCAGACGGGTATGGAGCCCTCCGAAGACCTGGAGGGACTAAGGAGTAACAAACTGTTTCCCTGTGACGACACTGGAGGCGTCATGGTGGCACAGGAGATGGACGAGGTCCAGGAGCTGCAGGATGAGACCTCGTGTGGAGGAGTTGCCCGAGAGGACCAGCCAATGACCCCTGAGGCAGCAAGAATCACCGGCGAAGAGAGGACCATGATTCGGAGCTCGCCAGTGCTGATGCAGGGAGAGGCCAACGAACTTGGCCTGATGAACTTGGACTGATGATCCCGCCAGAAGGTGGAGGACCTTGGCAGGTTATGTTTTTTTTTATTTTGAGAATCTAGGGGTGGCCAGGGGGCCCTGATGGCCAAAAGCAGCCTGTGCATGCCCAGCAGCCAGGTGGAGGAGAAAAGCCAACTGAGAAGGCAAAAGCTGGTGCTGATGCTAAGTTGGGAAGCCCCAAGCAGCTGTTAAGCAGCTTGGGTATGCTGAAGACCTGTGAGTCTCGTAAAATCACCTGGGGGGGATGCCCTGCTCATTCTTGAGTGAGGGTGAGGAGCTGAGGAGCCCGTCCTTGGGGGACGGGTGGGGAACGTGGCTTGGGGTGGAGCCCAGGTCGAATGCAGAGTTTGGATCCCGACCCATGTGCTTGTGCAGTGGGTTGACTTGAGTGCAGGGGTCTGCGAGTCGCATGGGTGGCTGTGAAGGCCGAGTGTTGGAGTGACTGCAGACAGAAACCCTGAGGGTTGGCGATTACCCCCAACAGAATAGAATCGCCAGTCCCAGAGCGAGTGCATCCTGGGGGTGGATGCTGTGTGTGGCTTGTAGCCGAGACGACAGCCAGAGAAGGCCAGGAAGCCCGACGGCTCCTGGTGTGTTACAGTAGATGCCGTGAGTGGTTCCCCTCCCTCGTATGAGCAGTGCCTTCGGCAGCAGATGTGGTGGCTCATCTGCTGGTACCAATAATTGTCTTTTGCGCTAGGTTGGGGCCCTGCCTGGATTTATTTGTGTTCTGTTGTATTTTGTTATATTGTGATGTATTTGCTTTTGTGGGCCATGGCTGCATTGTTTATGTTTGCTAAGAAATTGTATATATAAAGACTATATGGCAGAATACCCTGAGGGGGTGGACTGTAGGGTAAGGAAAAATGTCAGGCTTTTCTGCCCTCCCGCCATCAGGATAGATGACGGATCTTGCGGTCCTGAATGCATGCCTGATGGCGGGCACCTGGAGTAGGGTGTGGGCATAGGTAGATGGGATTCACCTGGGCTGAGACTGTGCTTTTAAGGGCGGTGTCATGGGGACGCCAGCAGAGGCCGAAGAGAAGCCAAGACAGAAGCAAAGAAGCAGAAGCAGAGAGCCCGGAGAGAGTGCGGATTTGCTGGGGGCTGGGAGGACTGCCAGCCTCCCGGCCCCCCAGCACTCCTGCCTGCCATGTACCCGCTAAATCACAATAAAAGACCTGCAAAAATCCACTGAGGACTCTGATTCCTCATTTACCTGGTCTGCTGGATCCTAGAAAACCTGCACTGTGTCCATTCCTGCCTCTACAGCATCGCATCTGCAGTTTTGGTTGAGGCTGTGCCGATATCTCATGGGCTCCTTTGTGGCACTGCGGGGTAACCTGGGGAGGGCTCTGCAGCCCTGCAGGGGAGCTGCTAAGAGGGGTGGCTTTGGAAGAAACAAAGGCTGATGGAATTAGGGACATGCTTTATCCAATGCTGAGGCCCAACCCTGCCCCCATTGGCCACCCTTTTTTCACCCCCTCTCCTGTCTCCCTGTGCCAATATTCCAGTCTGGCCAGCTCTGAAGGTGACTGACTGTGGGTGGTGGGTGTGGGTGTCCCAACAGAGGAGGACATCCTTTCTTTCAAGGACAGGTGCTATTTTATTGGCAATTCATTTGCAGAGGGTGAGGTGCTTTTGCAATTTGAATGTTCATTCTCCTTCAGATGTGATACTTGAACAAAGGCCCAAATGAAACTGGGTGGGGAGTGATTATGTCACTGTTCAGAAGAAAAGGTTCATGGTAGAGGAATCAGCAGGTGCAGAGACTCTTAATAATGAAATTCCTGGAATTAGAACAAGTGAAATGAGTGAATAATTCATCAGAAAATGAGGGGGAGTTGGTGCGGGCCCTTCTAGTCATTATGTTAACCTGGTTCACTTCAAGTGGGGTTGGCAGTTATCTGAGTGGCTTGAGTTCAAGGTTCACACAGCACTTCCTGATTCAGTCTGT